TATATATATATATAGAAAAAAGATTTTTTACCTTATCGCGTATGTCCTGTCTCATTTTCTCGCGTTCCTCTTCCATTTTGCGGTGTTTCTCCTTGCGCCGCTCCTCGGCCTCACGTATGGCCTCCTGACGCTCCCTCTCCTCCTCCTCTGCCTTTTCCTTATCGTCACCATCATCGCCGCCATCACCTCCTACCGCGCCTGCACAAAGATCAATTGAAATCCGTATTAGCCTACCGCAAGATAATCTTTACTCTATTTATGTAGACTAAAGCGTATATTTACTGTACTATAGGCACTAGTTGTCTAGACTTTCAATGCTGCTCTGTGTTCTGTCTGTTTCAATCAAAATAGGTCATGACCAATTTAGCTTGACACTTTGACACAAAATCAGAGATTACCAGCTCTACACAGTAATTGTGTGTGTGTTTTTTTTTTTTTTTTTTTTTTTTAATTTAAATGTTTAAGCTTTAAAGTTTATAAATTTATAATTAATTATGAAACTCATTGTAGACAGAAAATTCTTACATTAAATTTATGAGGATTTAGTTTTTTTTTTCAAATTTCGCTTCTAAATTATATTATTTATTTATTTTCATGTATATTAGCTAAACACATTTTACTTGAATTGAGAGTCCGGACTTATTTTTTTTTGTTAAGTGTTGCCGTGCTCATCGAAGTAGGTTTGAGACTGATGTCTACGGCTTATCTGGGCTATATAGAAAATAAGATTAGTTGGCCGGTAGCATTGAATGCGGCATGACGTGCCACAAAAATAGAAAACTGTCGCGGAAGAAGAAGAAGAATTGCTAGCAATTTCCGGTAATTTGTATGCACTGCAACCTTTCAATCTCCTAGCCTCTAATCGTCTAAGGTCAGTTACAGTGCGAGCCAAGTTTACAGTTGGCAAAAGCATTCCAAATTTATAGCTCGTGGCAAGCAGATCGCTGAAATGTTGGTGCCATTGTTTTGCGTGTTATGGTTAGTTGGCGCTTGCCACAGCATATCGATTGTGGAACAGGATGTTTTGCGCTTTGGCCAAGAGCTCGAACAGCTGCTGAACACAACATATTCGCCTTGCCAAGACTTCTTTGGCTATGTATGCGGACGCACCGCGAATCAGACACTGCGCCTTCAACAGGAACAGCTGCGCTTTCAGCAGCTACTGCGCTTTAACAATCCCGATAAACTTCTGGCCATGGAGCAAAAGCTGCTCAACTTTTACAAATCGTGCCAGAGCGGTCGCAGCCTGGACTCGCTCAAATCCACGCAGCTGTACAAGAGCAGCGGTGGCTGGCCTGCACTTGAATCCAGCAGCATTAATCAAACTGGACTCGGTTGGTTGGGACTGCTCAGCCAGTTCCATGAGATGGGAGCCCCGTATTTCTTCGTGACTCGCATCAGCATGCAGTCGAACAAACGGCTGGTCACATTGCAGCCAGATGTCACCAGGCGCCACACGTTGCGAAAGTTTGAGCAGCGTGTGGGCGAGCTGCTCCAGAGCTTTGGTGTCGAGCAGAGTCGGGCCCATATCGTATCGCTGGAGGTGCTCAGCCTGGAGCGCAATCGCCGCGATATCGTTAAGACGGAGCGTATTGATGATCAGGTGCAGTTCAGCTATGCGAATTTCAAGCGAAGCTCGTTCGGCAACTTCTCGATGTCTCGCCTTGATTGGGATGCCTATTTTCGCAACCTGCTCGGTGGCAAGATGTTGAAGCCCACAGACGCAATTGTTGTTAGGCAGTTGCCCCGCCTTGTAGACTATATTCAGCTATTGCAGAATACGAGCATGCATCGACTGCTTAATTGGATTTGGATTGATTATTTGATAGGTACGTATACCTAATGTCTTAATATATAGTGCAATGCTAGTCTTAAAAGAGTTAAATTCTTTACTGAAATTTTGCTAGTTGCCAACTGTAAGCTGTAGCTTTCTTAAATTCAACTCAATTTTTTACTTATACTAATATTTTGTTGTTGTAGACATTGTAGCCGCCGAC